GAAATCTCTATCTTCTTTTAGCCACTTAGTGGCTGGTATTTGGTGGGTCTGTGTGATTTGTAGCAAACTTTAATCCTAATTAATATGAACATTAGGAGGATTATTTTGAAATGATACCGAGTACACCAAAGATCTGAACACTTGGAAAGGTATACCATGTTCATGAAAAGGAAGACAGAACATTATAACTATGTCAGTTCTTAGATTAACACAATCACAATAAAAATATCAACAGGAGGGAGAACCAAGATGGCGGCATAGGTAAACACCTGTACTTGCTGCCTCTCACAACCACACTGAAATTACAACTAAAAGACAGAACAACTATTATCCAGAACTGCGGGAAAGCTGGCTGAGTGGAAGTTCTACAACTAGAAGGAAAGAAGAAAGCGCATTGAGACTGGTAGGAGGTGCAGAGGCGTGCGCGGAACAGGCTGGCAACCAGATGTGCTGCTTTTTTAATCAGGAGGGAGATACAAGCTCCCGATTGCTCTGAACTCCAGTTCTGGGTGAGACTCTGGGGACCCAGACACATACGGGGAAAAACTGGACTGTGGCATTGGCCAGAATGTGAGGGCGGCTTTCTTTCAGAAGGAAGGTGCTCGCAGTGGTCATTGTTCCTGCGCTGGGACCTCTCTGGTGCAGGGCTGACCAGCAGCCATTGCTGTTTGCTCTGCCCTGGTGATTCCAAGACCGCCCCACCCAATTTACAACCCCACCCAAGCTGTGCACAGTGGCTTTTGCACATGAATGGCCTGTCCTTTCTCAGCCTAAAACCTGTCAAACAGGCAGCAGCTGGGTCAGGGAGCCCCAAAGCTATCAATAAAAGGCCCAAGGCCAGCACCAGCACCAGCCTACCTTGCTTCACAGCTGGACCTCGTCTGGGCACTTCCAAACCCGATACAAAGAGGAGGAATCTGCAGATCTCTCTGTAGCTCCTGCTGGGTGGCCTCAGGCAGTGGCTGACTTTGCACCTCCTTGGAGATCCAAGAGCCAGTGTACCCAGTGGTCAGAGTGAGACCATCCAGATTACAACTCTTCACATCCATAAGCGACACACTCAAGGAGCAGACTCAGTGAGCACCAAAGCCCCACTGAAGCAAGTCCTGCCCCATAAAGGTGTCTCCAGCACAGAAGTTCTCCCACTGTAGACACAGCTGGTCCTCACAGCCAGTTGGCCTGGAGGTCAATTCCTCCCAGTGATACCTACAACAATCAAGGCTTAACTACAACAAGACTGTGCACACAGCCCACAAAGCGATGCACCAAGAGTGTCCATCTCAGGTGATTGGGGAGACTGAGCCACTGGGTCCTATAGGACACCTACTACACAAGGCCACTCTATCAACTCAAGGAGACTTAGCAGCTACCCAGTACATAGAAACAAACACAGGGAAGCAGCCAAAATGCAGAGACAAAGCAACATGTCACAATGGAAAGAAATGGAAGGAAGCAAACTACTGGATACAGAGTTCAAAACCACAGTTATAAGGTTACTCAAGAATTTTCTAGAAACCTCTGAGGAACTTAGTGAGACCTTCAAGGATCTTAGTATGAATGCCAAAAAAAAAAAAAAATGAAAAAGGACCAGTCAGAAATTAAGCATACACGGACTGAAATAAAGTATAATATACAGAGATTCAACAGTAGACTAAAGGATTGCAAGAATCAAGTCAAAGATTTGAAATATTCAGGAAGCAAAAAACACCCAACCAGAAGAGCAAAAAGAAAAAAGAATCCAAAAATATTAAGATAGTGTAAGGAGCCTCTGGGACAACTTCAAATGTACCAACATCCAAACTATGGAGGTGAGAGAAGAAGAGAGACCGCAAGATATTGAAAACCTATTTGAAGAAACAATGACAGAAAACTTCCCCTACCTGGTGAAAGAAATAGACTTACAAGTCCAGGAAGTGCAGAGAACCCCAAATAAGAGGAATCCAAAGAAGACCACACCAAGACACATCAGAGTTAAAATGCCAAGGGCAAAAGACAAAGAAAGAATCTTAAAAGCAGCAAGAGAAAAAGTTAGTTACATACAAGGGAGTACCCATATGACTGTCAGCTGATTTCTCAACAGAAACTTTGCAGGCCAGAAGGGAATGGCAAGAAATATTTAAAGTGATGAATAGCAAGAACCTACAACCAAGATTACCCAGCAAAGCTATCATTCAGAATTGAAGATCAGATAAAGAGCTTCACAGATAAGAAAAAGCTAAAGGAGTTCACCACCACCAAACCAGTATTATATGAAATTAGTGGCCCGGTGCACAAAATTCGTGCACATTAAAAGGGAATTAATGAGAGGAAATATTTTAATATTGCTATTTGCACTTTATAATAGAAGTGTCATAGATGAAAGAAAATAGTAAAATGTATATGAAAATCTTCTTCCTGTCAGAGTCTGGGGCATGCTGCAGGACCCAGAGTCAAGTCCCTGCCCACCCGTGTGCACCCCAAAGTTGCGCAAGACCCAGACCCAGCCAGCCCCACCCCCGTCAAGCCCCACCAGGTGGGGGGCACAGCCTCAGGTCCCTCGTCAAGCCCTGCTGGGTGTGGGGGGGGCACAGACTTAGGTCTCCTGGTGTCAGACCAGGGGGGGCGGCCTGAGGTCCCCCTTCAATCCCTGCCAGGCAGAGGGTGCAGCCTGAGGTCACCCGCCCCGGTCCGGCATCACACAGCCTCAGGTCCCTGCTGATGGCTCATTACGACTCGTTATGGGAACCCTGCCTCTGATGTGGGTTCAGCCATCTTATGATGGCCTGATGGAGTGAGGGTCCATTTGCATATTACCTCTTTATTATATAGGATGCTGAAGGGTGTTCTTTAAGAAGAGGAAGAAGAAGAAAAAGGTAAAGATAAAAAATTATGAACAACAAAGACAACAAATACATATCTATCAACAAGTGAATCTAAAAATCAAATGAATAAAAAATCTGATGAACAGAATAAATTGGTGAATGTAATAAAATCAGGGGCAAGGAAAAGAGCGGACTGAAAATTCTCGGGGGGAAGGGGGTGCGGGGGATGCGGAAAGAGATTGGACAAAAATCTTACACCTATGGACGAGGACAGTGAGGGGTGAGGGCATGGGGTGGGGTGGGAAGCGGGTGGAGGGGAGCTATGGGGAAAAAAGAGGAACATCTGTAATAATCTGAACAATAAAGATTAAAAATAAATAATAAATAAATAAGTAAATAAATAAATAAAGAGAAAACAGATGCACTGCAAAAAAATCAACAGGATATTGTGCAAACTGGACAGGCTGACTCTAAAGTTCAAATAAATAAACAATGAAGAAAAAAAATAGAAAAATTACGCAAAATAAGAGTCCTAAAGTAAGGACATAAGAGTGTTTGTATTTTATGTGTTTTATTTTGTTTTCAACTGTAATATTTAAAATAATGTGGTTCTACAGCATCAAAAACCTAGAAATATATCTAAATAGATATAATAATTTAGTAAATAATAAAGGTGGTATTTTAAATCAGTTGAAAAGATGCCCAGGGGTGTAATCATCTGGAAAAAAAAATAAATTAGAATCCCCACCTCACATGTTGCATCAAAATATATTCTACGTGGATCAAATATCTTCAGGTAAAAAGTTAAAACCATGAATATACTAGATAAAATATAGGTTAAAGGAAATTCTCACATGGCGAAAGATCTTTCTAAAAAGGACACAATACCTGAAGTCATAAAACATTTGTAAAGTTGACTACACAAAAATAAAAGAGTTGGGGAAAAACACCCATAAACATTAAAAAGACACACAACACACTGGAGTGGTGGGGGGGAGGGAATTCAATTCATATCACAGACAATGGACTGATTTTCTTAAAAGAATTAATTGATTCTTAAAAGAATTCCTCTTAATGTACTAGTATAGCAAAAAGCCCATCAAGAAAGGCAAATGGATATTGGGCCTGAGGCATATAGAACAGTAAAAGTAAAAAGATGGTCAGGTTCATTCTTGATAAAGAATAAAGAATGCAAAGCAAAACTGCACTGTGATGCCGTGTTCCCCCGTCTGGGCAAGGTAGCAACCACTGGCAACAAGCACAGTGATGGAAAATTAAGGAGGATACGGGCACTCTCATACATTTATTCTCAGAATATAAATTTGGTTCCACCAAAACCAGTTTGATCATAATTGAACAATTAGAATGCACTTGTTCGTTAGCCAGACAATGCTGCAGATCCGCACAGTTACAATGCCACGTATGCCAGGTGGCTTGCTGTGATGGCTCATAGTGGCACAGCCTCGCTTTCCACCAAAATGACAAATGAAGTCAACCAAATAGTGGACGATAATATGACCATTAAAAAGTCAGACTTTGGCAATCCATGTGCCACGCAACGTTGTAGGATTTGCTGCTTCCAAGAAAATTGTATAAAGAGAACTATCATCATTGACTGTCATCACCACATATTATAAAACTCCTTGCTCCTCGTTCTTGCGATCTTGTACACATCAGAAATCTAAAGACTGGATAATCAAAATGGAAAACGGAGAACGACAACCTGTTGTGAGTTGGAGAATAGTGTTCAAATGTCACATCCAAGGTCAAGATGCAAAACGTATTTTAAAGTAGCGCGAACCAGACAGGATAGCCTAAGAAGCCACCCGACACATGGACGGCCGACAGGAAAACCTGGAGAAACGAATCAGAGCCTATTTTCCAAATACACCGTCTCTCCCTGCTTTCTCCAGCTCGAGATACAAGTGTCCTTTGCAAACTGTGGCCACACTTGGCTTTCAATATAGCAAAAACACTCTTCCTCCTCAACCAACAAAATAGAAATAAAGAACTTGGACGCTGAATTATAAAATTCCCCCCATAACTGAACCTACTTTGTTCTGTTCTATCCTGATAGTACATTTGGATGATCTGATTCTCCTCACTAAACACACACACACACACACACACACACACACACACACACACACACACAGACGGAATTACAGACATAGAGAGATATGTCTGATGAATGCTTACCTGATATCGTGTTGGCTGATTGAGAATGCTGTTAAAACTGTGTGATTCAAAAACTCTGGAGTTAGACTGAGTGAAGAGGTTTAACTAGGAAAAAATACAATTAACCTAGTGAATTAGAATACATTCATTTGGAAATAACAAATATAATCTACTTTATTCTCCTCGATAGCGTTTCTGGAGCCAGCACTCCTGAGGGACGTATGGTGGAGGTTGAGTCTGAGACGTGGTTTAATATATTTCCGAAGGGAAACGTCAATGGGAGCAGCGTGCTCACGTCACTGGCCTGCTGGCAGCAGGAACTGTCACGGAGCTGATTAACTGAACGTTCTTTTAGGAGTCGGCTCGGACTAAGCCTTCCTGATCCTGGGATCGTGGTCACTTCATCAACATGTACCCGGGGCGCCCAGAAGACGAAGCTGCACAGAAGCGATTCTACCTGCTCTGAGCCTGGTTCCTCACCCACGTGAACGGAACACGTGTGCTCAGATGGCATCGTTCAGTATTTTCCCGCCCAGCGGTTCTCAACCTGTGGGTCGCGACCCCTTTGGCGGTCGAACGGCCCTTTCACAGGGGTCGCCTAAGACCATCCTGCATATCAGATATTTACATGACGATTCATCACAGTAGCAACATGACAGTTATGAAGTAGCAACGAAAATAGTTTTATGGTTGGGTCACACCATGAGGAGCTGTATTTAAAGGGCCAGAAGGTTGAGAACCGCTGTAATCTGGCCCTAAAATACCTGCGCACATAGCATGTCTTCCCGAGCATCTTGGCCTTAGACTGAGTCAGGGTCACAACTTTGGAGGGAATTGGGCTAAAGAATTTATGTTTTCTTTCCTTTCCTCTCTTTCTTTTCCAGGTTTAATTGCGGGGAGGGATAGAGGGAGGAACAGGAGGCGAGAGGCACACGTGGTCACCGCCCGTTCTGTGCGCAGCCTCTTCCCCACGGCTCAGGCAGGGACCCTGCTCACTACCCTGTCACCGCGGTGCCAGCACAAAGCCTCGCTGGCAGGGGACCGCTCCTGTGAGCCCCGGTCAGTGCCTGGCCGCTGGCCGCGCCTGCTGTGTTACAAAAGGGGTCTGGAGGCGCCTTCCTCTCTTCTACAAAAGAAAAGCAAAAACAGGATTTCTCCAAATGTTCCCTAAATTCAGCACACAGAGCATATCTGTGGCTAGGAGAGTCAAACAGCTCCCCGCACAATTTACAAAATAAAATCAAAATGGATGTTAGAGCCTGGGAGGCTGGGGGGTGGGCTCAGCCTTCCCTCTCCCCCAGCAGCCTCCCCAGGACAGCTGCTCTTCCTGCCGGCACCCCCCGTGGAGCACGCCCGCCCCTCTCGGTCCTGGGCACACCCTGCCTCTCCCTCGAAGGGTCCAGGTAGCCACGTGCCGCCTCAATGCCCTCTCTGCTAGCACCGTCCCCCCTACATCATGACACCATCAGGCACGAAGCCGGTGGGTGAGCAGCTGCTACGGAAAGACGATGCTAGGGTGTGAGGTGTAAGGACTTGCACCCCCATCCTTGAGAGGCTTTCTTTGAAAAGAATAAAGCCTCGGTTACTAAATGCCCAGAGAAGCAAAGTCCATTTCAGCAGTAGCAGAATTTGCCCAAGATGGTGAGTAGAGACTGGCCCCTTTAAGAGAGCAGCCACCCCTGCAGCTGAAGGTGCAGCTGGCGGGGAGAGGGTGGGCAGCAGCCAAGCCCGAGCACAGCTGTGAGCAGGAGGTGGGCAGGTGTGGGGCCGGTGGGTGCAGCGGGCCCGGTGGGTGCAGCAGCCCGGTGGGTGCAGCAGGCCCGGTGGGTGCAGCAGGCCAGATGGGTGCAGCGGCCCGGTGGGTGCAGCAGAAAGGGTGAGGCGTCTGATGCCGCCTTCAGTCCCACGCCTGCCCCGCTCGGCCAGCACTGTACCCTTGCGCAAGTGAGTGGCTTTAGTGGCTTCAGCTGTCGTGGCTGTAAAGTGGGGACAGTCGTCATACCTACCTCACAGTGTTGCATGAGGGTCAGATGTACAGCAAAGCACTTTGCAAACTGCGGATGAGGAAGGGCACTGCTGTTTGTCGAGGCTGGAACTTTGTGCGTCTCCTGTCATTCCCACTAGAACCCTACGAGGCTTCCTCCTTCAGCTGCGACACTTAAGGCTCAGAGTGACGGAGCACTTCACCCAGGGGGCTCGCTCACGGGCCATAAGCCCGGAACCCAAACCCGGGTCCAACGCCCAGGCGCTCTTCCTGACATTAAACTGCCTCTCCGTGGGCACACACGAGCTATTACTTGAAATCATGGGATGTCGCAACCGATCGCTGCCTTGCGAACGCACGGCCTTAAGAGCCCGCGCCCAGGTCTAAAGGCCTAAAAGGTCACCTTCGTAAAAAACGAGCTGGCAGGGAATTACAAGAGCTGGAAAGCACCTCTGTTTCCAAAGGTGAGAAGTTAAATCGCAGGAATCCGAGCCGTGACCAGCGTCACCTGAGAACCAGGCCCGGCTCTGCTCAGAGGCCTGGATTTTCCGGAGATAACATTGCCGCCTTGTGGCTCCCAGCTGCAGGCCGTTCTTACAACGTCAGGCAAAAACGTTAGCCCCACGCCTTTCCTCCTCCCTGCCTCGCTCACTATTATTGGCGGTTCTGCCCCTATCTTCCTGTGTCCTACGCCAATTCTGACTCTGAAAACTGCGTTCATGGTAATAAACCGTTATCATGCCACTCGAGGACACACCGTTCTTGACTATTTCTGAAAGGGGCATTGACGGTTAATACTTGAGGATGCTCTTAGGCCTGCATCGATTTTATAATATTGGAGGAAAAAGGAGTGTTTAGCCCAATAAAGGGTCTGGACAAATAAGAAGACTACGTTGGTGTTGAACATACATACAACCATGAGGAAATGTGCAGTGAAAGCTCTTTAACTTTGGAAGAACAGTTGAGAAGCATGGAACACAGGGAACCAAGTGTTCTGTTTACCTTTCACGAGTTAAAGGATTTCTCGTTTGCTTTTAATCCGGTAGTTGACGTGAAATTATGACCCAAAGCAAGGCATAGATTAAGGGGCCTCTTGACACATTAGGAAAGTATTCGCTATTCGTCTATGAAAGACTGTGGGATGGACAATACTTTCGACATCTTCTAAGTTCACACATAAAAGTTATTGAACGCACATCAAAAGACCAGGAGGAAGACACCACGTTCCCCGAAAGGCCGCGGTGAGCGCCGGATACCTACCCTGGACTTTGAGTTCCCCAGCCCCATTTCTATGTCTTTCTGAAGCCTTCTCCTTCTGCATTTGGAAAAGTTAATGATCCGCATGATGAAATAAACAAATGACTTTGGACTAGGAACTAGACTGAAGGGTGGAGGTAATGTTTTTCCATCATCAAAATAAGATAACCAAAGTTTCGAGCGAGCAAACTTCCATTCGACATCGCTGTCGTCCTGTGTCACAAGACAGAAAAGACAGAACTCATTTCAAAAACCAGAAATTCTAGTAATTGATTCCATAGGGTGTTACAATGAACCTAAATTATGCTTTTTGAAATAGGTAAGTGATTTATATACAATTGTCTGCTTATAATCCCTATTGTTCTACATAATATTCTATCACTTTCTTGATACTCATTTTTTTATGTTTCTCTTCCATATGCTTCTGTTGTGTACCCACTGAAATTTAACAAGAATTTCTGTCCCCCACCCAAGACACAAAGCAAAGCACAAGAAAAAGTCAAGGACAAGGAAGGATGGGAAAATTATCCTCTCTCCCTGCCAATTCTGTGTATCCATCAATAGTTCCCCACTCTCTGGCCACCCTCCCTCCCGTCCAATAGGCTGTAGATACCGCATACTATACCCCCCAGGCAAAGGGGGAAATTGCACTTTGGCATTTATGTGTCTGCCATATGTCCTCAAATGTCACAGGAGGCCCTCAGTGGCCTATTCCCATTTTGTATCTCCTCTGGTCCTCAGAGCTGCCCTCTGGTGATGGGCGTGACCATCCTCCTGGGAGAAATGATGGGGAGGAGAAACGACGAGGAGGGAGTCCAAAGCGGAGGAAGGTGACTCACTCGGCTCACACTCGCTGGACAAGCAGGAGTGCAAAGTCCCACAGTTCTCCCACCTGGAGGACCTCGCTTCGGCTTTGATAACACTATCTTGTGTCTCTAAAGCACACAGAGAGGCGCAATGGACTTAACAAACAGCAAAGCCCTAAGAAGATACTAAACTCTAAACCGGAGGACAGAGAAAACATACATGCAGCCGTGAGGGCTCCAACCAACCCATCCAACACCAAAAGCAGACTGATTTCCAGAACAGTGAAAATTCCAACTGGATGAAGAACGTCATCAGCGAATGCCAGATGCCTCGCAACTCCCCCTGCGGGACCTTTCACAGCTGGCAGGCTAACGGGGAGAGGGCAGCCTCCCCATGCCTGGCACTTCTTCCAGCCGCTAATTTCACAACTTCTGAAACAGACCCCGAGAGTGATGATAAAGCCATGGAGCCCCACTGTGCTCCTAGAACAGTGATGGCGAACCTTTTGAGCTCGGCGTGTCAGCATTTTGAAAAACCCTAACTTAACTCTGGTGCCGTGTCACATATAGAAGTTTTTTGATATTTGCAACCATAGTAAAATAAAGACTTATATTTTTGATATTTATTTTATATATTTAAATGCCATTTAACAAAGAAAAATCAACCAAAAATATGAGTTCGCGTGTCACCTCTGACATGCGTGTCATAGGTTCGCCATCACTGTCCTAGAAGATGCTGGAAGGCGTAGGCTGTCTGTCCTGGTGGAAAACCCAGAGGACGGCCTGGGCGCACCTCGCCTCTTTGCTTCCAGGAGCTGGACCACCCACAGGGCACCAAGCAGATATGCTGTGTTATTAGAACGACGGCAAGGACAGAGCCACGGGTAGGAGTCTGCTTACCTCAATTTCTTGGTACGAGCTGTTAATCATGGCAATTAACATGTTGAGCAAAACGACCACCATAGTCACATTGTAGATTCCATAGAGCACGTATCCAATATTCTCTATGAACTTGTGATCATACTTGAGCACAACTGAAGTCACTTCAGACAACCCGAATATGGACCAAAACAGAGTCTTGAAGCTTTCTTCCACACTGTCGAAAGATTAAGGCACACACTCAGCAAGCGAACAGTTTTCCGTGTTGAAAAGTCAGAAGTAAAAACAACGTCCTCATAAAATACCATCATAAACCCCAGAATGGAATTATCCTATCTAATAAAAGAGAAACATGGTAATTAGCCGTATCTCCGCTACCCTTTCCATTGGCTAATCAGGGCGATATGCAAATTAACTGCCAGCCAAGATGGCGGTCGGCAGCCAAGCAGCTTGAAGTGAACAGGAGGCTTGCTTGCTTCAGTGACGGAGGACTCCAACGTTCCCCGCCTGCCGCTGCCGGCCTCTGAGCTTGCAGTTTGAAACATTGTTACAAATATAGAAGCTAAACAAAACCCCAGAAACCTGCTTTCAGCTAGCTGGGCTTCAACCAGCAGGACTGCAACATTGTTTCAATTATAGAACCCAAACAAACCAGATACCTGCTTTCAGCAGCTGAGGCCTAAGAGCTGGAGCCAAGCCTCAGAGCTAAAGCTGGCCCAGAATTTTAAAAAAAGAAGAAAAAAAGGAGTGGTTGGGAGCTTCAGTCACCCGCCAGCCTGAAAACAGCCCTCAGCCCCTCACCCAGACTGGCCAAGCACCCCAGTGGGGACCCCCACCCTGAAGGGGGTGTGACCAGCTGCAAACAGCCATCATCCCCTCATCCAGGCTGGCCAGGCACCCCAGTGGGACCCTCACCCTGATCCAGGACACCCTTTAAGGCAAACCAGCCGGCCCCCACCCATGCACCAGGCCTCTATCCTATACAGTAAAAGGGTAATATGCCTCCCAGCACTGGGATCAGCAGAGTCACGAGTCCTCCCCGGAACCGGGATCAGTGTGACAAGGGGCAGCGCCAAAACCCCCCTGATCCCCCCTGCGGTTTCTGTGTGTGGAGAGGGGGCGGGAGCCCCAACCTCCCCTATCTGGCCCTGCTCCTGTTTATGAAAAGGGAAAGGAACCCCCAGACTCCCTGAACAGCCCCTTCCTCTGTGCCTTTATGGGGGGTAAGCTCCCCAAACCCCCCTGATCGCCCTTGGGGCTTTTTTGGGTAAAAGGGGGGGGGGGCCCCAAACCCCCTTGATCGGCTCTGCTTTTGGGTGTGAAAAGGGTGCAGCGCCCCAAACCCACCCCCC